GTTTTTTTCTCTTTGACATGTATGTATCTCCATCATTATTATCACTGTGTCTTGCTTTTTTGCTTTTGCTTTTTGTTATTAAAAAAAGCAAATTTAATAAAAAAATGTATTAAAAAGCAATAAAAATAAATATATATAAAAAAACCTAGAACAACATCCTTCATATCGTGAATGGAGTATTACTAAAACAATCTTAAATTTTGTGTCCTGGCTTATAATTTCTTTCATACTTTCTCTTCTGAATCATGTACATGGCTAAAGAAAGAAAATATAACTGAGATGGATATTCTTTTACCCCTAGCAGTATTTAATTGTTTATATAGGCTCTTGGGTATCCTTCCTATATAAGAGAGTAATCATGCAGTAATGACTGCCATCTTGACTTTTTCGACCTCCCCCTTGTAGAGTCTCCTGAAGGTAGCATATAACAAACCAGACAAAAGTAATAGTATATGAAAACCTAAAATTCAATAATAAAACCACATTAATTCATTAAAACAACTAAACACAGTCTAAGAAGTCAAACTGGTGAGTCTTAATTCTGTAAGGCACTCTAATTTTGCACCTCAAATGGTCCAAAAAAACAAATCTTCTACTGTTTCTACCTCACAGCTTTTCAGTTCTAGACATGTCCATGAGATGTTAGAACCCAGATTACTTTATCCTTCCCTTTGTGATTGTGGCTGGTCCTGTTCACACATAATGCTAAGCCAGGATATTTTAAGCATGATTTTTAAGCAAACTATAGTTCACACGTAACACTTAGCAATAGCGTGTACATTCACTTATCATGCAATATTTATTTATTTACCCACATTTGTATACCTGTACTGCTTAGTCCTGTGATTCTAATTATAAGCCACTTTGTGACAAAGTTGTGTGGACAGCCCTTTGTCTCATTCTCTCAAGTACAGCTTCTTTCTTTCACATACACATGTCCTGCAGGTAAGGAAGGTGTAACCTAGGCATACCTGTTTAACTGTTCACACATGGCACTAAATCACAGTTTGTTTAATCATTGTTTATTGACCAAATGGCAACTGATTTGATTTGCTGACATATTAGGCTATACATGATTTATAAACCACAGTAGCTGGTTTCACAAACACATCTACAAAATCAAACCACCATACTATGATTTGAGATGATAAATGATGCTGTTGGTCTTTCAGTCCATAGATTTTGTGTGTCTGCTCTTGTCCTGTTCAAAAGTCTTAGAAGCACAAACTTAGGCATATATATGTTCTGTACACGTCTATTCAGAAGTAAGTACCATTGAGTTCAGCTAAGCTAAACAGATCAAGAATGACAGCCTTAAAGAAGATTGTCCAACTATTAATTCTAATGGCTGTGAGCCACCAAGAATATCCTGGCTTTTGACAATTTTTTTCTATCAAATCTAAAAGTCAGGGTAACCAGAAATTGATTTAAGGCAACTTCCATATCCCTCAAACATGTTGGACTGAAACTCCCAGAATCCTAACATGGCCAGACACATTTCTCACTAATGTTCTTTCTGCTTATACCATTCTGGTTGCAAATCCCATTTTAACATAAATACTGTTCTAGTCTATTGGCTAGTGATCAGGAAGCAGGTAGCAATAACAGAACTGCCACAACAGCAATCAGGCTAAATTTTTAAGATTTAAAAAAAGGCTGATGAACATGGAAAGAAACTTCGTGGAAGACCATGGCATGTGGTTTTTAGTGGCCTGGTATGGCTGCTGTTGTGCTGGTGTGAGTCAGCAGATGGAGAAAGAAAAGGGTAGAAAAAGATCAGTTCTAGCCTTGAAATGCAGCTAGGCTGTCATGAGAGCTGATGAGCTGACCTGGCTGCTAGCCAGGACTGTTGGAGGGAGATGTAGAGACAGCAGTTCCACTGGTCCAGCATGGTATATAGGTGTTGGGAACTACACCCCGGGGGGGGGGGGGAACACCCACCTCCTCAGTTGCTGGGAACATGCTGCCAATCTGAGTCAAAATTGGAGAGAGAGAGAAGGAGAGGAGAAAACGAGGACAAAAGGATTGTGTAAAATGGAATGGCTGGACAGAAAAGTTGAAGAATAAAGTTATGTGAGAGTGGAGAGCAGTTGTTGATTCCTGGTCAGAGAGGAAGAAGAAAGGTTCAGGTGTGGCTTCCCTGGAAGAAGAAAAGTGAAGTCCTAGAGAGATGACATCTTCATCCAAGATGGGAAAGGAGGGAGTCCACTGGATACGGACAGCATTTTCATGCAAGACCCAAGAAGGGAAGGAGAGAGATGGCAGTCTTTGGCGAAGCCCTGGTCTCTGAGGAAGGACTGGGCAGAAGCCCTTGAGACAGGTTCTTCCCCCAACAGAGAAGATGCAGAAGGTGATTGGCTGAGCAGATCCAAGAAAAGGAGATGAGTGGTGCAAAGCACACTCCAGTTGTAAATCCAGCACATTCTTTTCTTTCACTGTCTTTGATAGTCCCAGAAACGAGGTGGGGTGTGGGGGAGGAAGTGAAGCAGTTAGCAGGAGAGCTAGAGGGGAATTGTCTCTGGGAGGGAGACTTAAGGGGAAAGCTGATACTGGGTAAAAGCCAGGAACAGTATTTTATATACCTGTTGTAAATATCTGTTGTAAATACCTGTTGTAGATAGTTTCACTGTATCTAGTAAAAAAGCATAAAAGTCTCCACTGTCTTGGTTTCTGAATCTCAATTGCCATCCTTGAAAACCAGAGTATACCTCCAATTCTAAAAGAACCCAGTCACATTTACAAAGACAGTAAGTGCCAGCATGATGATTTAATTATTTTTGAAGCTTGGGATTGTGAAGATACTTTGGGCTGTTTTAAGGCACATTGTGTGTCTTTTATGGCTTATACATTTTATAATCAAAAAGCCCTGACTCATTTTCAGTTGACAGCCAGGGTTTGACACATGATGTGAAGCTCAACCTCTGCAATTGTTTGTAGTATCATTGTTCAGTTATTGAGGTCTGTTCCTTCAACAATGATGGCTTAGTGTAACATTTTAAAGATCAGTGTGCTTCAAGGAAAATTAAATTTGGCATTTGAAATAATTGCAATCTAACCTTGAACATGCTTTCAGAAAAGATCTACCTAATGTAGATTACGTTTTTTAAATTTAAATGTTAATGGCAGATAGTTTGTGCTCACATATTATCATGAAAACACAATACACCAGTGTTTCTCAACTTTGGCAGCTTTAAGATGGGTGGACTTCAACTCCCAGAAAATCCCAGCCTGCAAGGCTGGCTGGGGTTTTCTGGGAATTGAAGTCCACCCTTCTTAAAGCTGCCAAGGTTGAGAAACACAGCAATACACATTTGCACAAACTCTTAGTTTGCAAAATCATTTTAAGTCCAGTGTTTGGAACTGCAACCTACAGATACTTGTGTAAGGAAAGGAACTGCAGAGGGCAAAGAAGACAGGAGGTATGGTTGAGGGAGGTTCATAGGGCCACTCTTGTGGAGAACATCAGACTCTATTCAGGGGACCAACTGGAATCAAATATGACTGCATCTTCTTGTAGGGAGGGCAGGAGAGCGCTTGGAAGAATGATGAAAGGTGAAGAAATAGTTACCATGCCTATTTTCACCCTATTCAGTCTGTAGTAGAGTAGAGAAAGTGGTGCAAGTAGAAAGCCAGTGAATTAATTATCTGTCCTGGACTCTAATATATTGACGGCGCACTTACTGTGGTCAGGACCTCTCTACTCCGCCATGGCACCAGGGCATCAATAGCTACACCTGGTCCAGTGAAAGTGAGAACAATCCTGATGGCAACACATTGGTGTAATAATCATCGGACTGTCTAGTCTCTAGCAACAATCTGCTGCTCAATTTAAGGTCAACATATGATACATTAATCTATCCATATGAGAAATTACCATAGCATGGATAACTCTACCAAATCTGACTCTGACCCCATAAGATTGAAGTTACAGTCAAACAGTTAAAGACTCGGTGGCTTCCACATGTTGACTCCCATGATGACTCCCAGCTGCTCTCACCACTGGACATGCTTCACTAGGGCTGTTGAAAATTGCAGTCAGCAATTTCTAGAGGACCCCTTTCTAGCTTTAAAGTATCAAGTAGCTTTAAAAAGTTACTTGATACTTTTGCTTATATTGATTTCATGTGAATGTTTTGCCTATGTCATATTGTCTTATTTGAGCCCATTAGATGCTAGCAGGGCAGAAATGTTGCCCATTTTATACATATTTTTATAACTATTGTACAGATGTATGATATAGATTCATTAAAATGGAAACCTTTAAAGTAACTTACCAAAAATCGAACTCCATCTATATTTAATTTTTCCACTATCCGGGCACAGTCATGCATCCCACACTGGAAAGAGGGAAGAGGAGAGGGTGATACTACATTCAGTAACGTGCACATTTACATTTCTCAATGAAGCATTAGAGACAAAGATATTGCCTTGCATGGACACCCACAGGGTGGGGGTGGGGGGAACCAACAGGTCCAATGATGAAAAATGCATCATGAAGTTATCCTGTTGATGCTGGTGCAAATACCCAAGACGTGACATTGGCATGATGATATCACATGGGCCTGCCATCATTTTGGAATCATGGCAGTTTGCTACAGGTGCTGTGGCTGCATTAACAGTCTGTTCATAGCTTGAAATGTTAGAAGTCTCTGTATAATACCTCTGTGTATCTTCTATCTTTCTATGTGGTTGCTAGGAGTCAAAAATGACTTGATGGCACATAATCAATCAATCAATCAGTCTTCTATAGCCACACTTTTGGATTTGTTCACATAGCACATTTAGCAATCATTGGCCTAATCGTGGCTTGTGGACTAAATCCCAGTGGACTGAATTCACATATAAGACACCGCGCATACCACATTCAGACTTTGAGTCTGCAATGCCCATGTGGCACCCCTGGGTGCCAGAGTGTCCACAAATACCTCCCTTGGTGCCTGGCAGCCTCTATAACTCACCTGATTTAAATAGAATAATCTTTTTAAAAACCAAGGAAGGAAGGAAGGGTAGCATAATGCAAAGTGGCAGCCGTAACAACCTCTGTACTGAAAGACATAGACCCCCATAGGTATTCTTAGAACATGAAAAGGCTCCCTGGCTGCAGTCAAGTGTTTTCTTTGGAAGTGCTCGATCCCTGTCTAAAGAAGAGTAAGGTGAAAGGATCAATAGCATTTTGGGGTAGAGGGGATAGAGGGAAAGGGAAGTAGCAACCTTACTAGTTTACATTCTGGTAAATGGGCTTGCTATGGCAGCCTTTTTTCAACATGCCCATGATGTGTTCTCCACATTCCTGATGTGGCTACTGGCCAAAAGGATTGGGGACCACTACCTTAAGGAGTGGTCTTAGCCTTTGTCTCAGTCAAGCTTCTGGGCAGGATGTTCATCCAACCTACTACTATCTTCTATTTACCTGGGTACAGAAGCTGGACTCAAGTTCTCCTACGGACATCCTGTTGCACCAAAAGATGCCATGGCCGCAATTACAAATTGAACATAGGTTCTTCGTGTGGTGGCAGGGCAGTTCAGAATTTCCTTCAAAGCTTTTTGACGTTAGTATTTTTCTACGTAATTATTTGGTGTGTGTTCTCCCCCACCCCGCCTTGTGTGTCTAGCTTTTAAAGAGGAAGTTACTAATCATGGAAAATTGAGTAGTGCAAACATTCAGCAAATTGGACAAAAGCAAAATTAGAATAAATGTAGCAGTACTATAAATGTTGCTTTCTAAAAGGAGACATACAATGGATTATACAGAGGGAGAAAATAAGCATCTTCTACACATAGATGGAGACATAGACATAGACACAGATACTGAGGATTACTCACACATACATAAACATGCAGCCATATTTCAGATTACTTTTACACTCATTATCAAGATAGCAAATGATACTGAATGGGGTGAAGAAATGTTACTGAGCAGCTAACAGGACAATCTACTGGCTTTGTGTTTTCTCTTTCTCTCTCTTACCTATTTAATCCATTCTGTTTTATATTACTCCACTAGTCCATTTGTTTTAATCGTATTTATTGAATGAGTCAGAATGTGGCTTTTCTATAAGAAGCGCATTCAGATGATTGCAACATTCTTAGAAGAAGAGAACTTACATGATTGCGGTCCATTTATGAATACTGCACACTTCTGATGCAGAAACTAATTCAGAGCAACCTACTATAGAGTACTACAGAGTCTAAAACTAAACACTAAAGAGTGTAAAACTACACTACAGAACACACAGACCTAAAAGAACGTTCATCAATATGTCTGGAGGAAGGACTGGACAATTAGGGTTCTTGGATTAAAGCAAGACCTCTCCATTTGGACAGTAAAGTTAGATTGGTTAAATTGCCTTGGTGCACTCCTGCAATGTCTCTTTAATGCTGACCCAAATATATATGTTTTTTGTAAGAATTACACATGGAACAAGTACAATTCGGGACTGAGAGTGGTTAGAAAGGATGGAAATGCCACTAGGAGACAGCATGTCTATCTTGGAGGGGCAGGTCTCAATTACGTGGTTCATTCTGTCCAATAATGTGTATCTGATTATTTTATTGTTTAATTAGCTATCATATTGTTGGTATATTTTGATTACGTTGGATGAGATTCAAAGGGACTGAAACTTTCAACGAAGAGTCAGAACCCATAAAAACCTATATATCTCTAGATGTGAAACTGATGCAAGACCTGATAGAAATTATATCAAGAGGAATCTCCCTGGTAGCAATGGGATTGCATATATGAAACTACATAGCATATAGATTTTCCTGGAGCTAATCTAGCTTTTTCACAAAAAAGGCTGCTTCAGGAAGAAGTTGCTTGAAATGATGCAATATGGTGACTTCCATCCTTATGCACCATTAAAATGAGACACGAAGCATGTCCTTTTGATTTGTATGGTGCCCATATGCATGCTATCGTGACTTTCTGTGTCAGACATAAAAATTACCGGTTAGTGGAAAATGGGTGTTATTTCGTTTCTGCTTATTGCTGAAATTTGTGTGGGGCTATTTCTTATAAATTAAAATGTGGCATCATGAGATTCCTGCTGCAGGCCGGAATACAGGCCACATCTCTTGCGAAAACCGTAAGGGTGGTGTGGAGAAATAAAAACAGAAAGGGCCGAATTAAAGGAAGAGGAACAGAGAAAGAAGATGATAGTGTTAGTAGAATATGATTTGTACTTGTGAGGAATACAATAGTGCGGTTCACCACACAGCTTGGCTGATGAGTCATTAACTGTGATTGCGACTCTTAAGAAGCCCAGCACCAAATCTATTTCAGATTAGATAGCTCTTATCTCCTCCTTTCCATCTTCTTAACTTTGATCTATCAATATTATAAAAGTATTTATAGCAGTGTTGTCCAAACTTGGCCACTTTAAGATGAGTGGACTTCAACTCCCAGAATTCCCCAGCCAGCATTCCTGATTTATAGGAATCTACGGTGTGACTGCCCTTAGAAAATGGGCCTGCCTGGTTGCCACCCTTGAAAAAGGAAAGTGGAAAGCTGATAAGAATACAGGATAGGAGCCTTTTTTTTTTTTTAAACTGAGAAAAACATGTACAGGAGATTCAACTGAGTCATATATATTTCACACATGGTGGGGAAAAGTGGATTTCTCACATTCAAATATGAGAATCCAGGGTTTTGCAGTGAAGCTAAATGATGGGCAATAAATAAATAAATGAATCTTCATTTAGACTATAATCTATGGAATTCTGTGCCACAAGATTTAAGAATGGTCACAAGGAATTAATGGAAGGTAAAGCTATCAATTTTTACTTTCAGTGAAAGCTATTATTATCTCCAGCATCAAAGGGAGTCTGCATCTCAATGCTAGTTGCTAGGCAATGAACTGGATTTCACTCACATCCTGCTTAAGGGCTTCTCCATTAACTTCTGGTTTTCATTGCTGGGACAGAATTAGATGGACCTTATGTAAGGGAGTGTACAATTTTTCAATTTCAAGCTTTTGGAACTGCTGGGACAACTATTTTGAAGCTGAAATTGTTTTGAATTTAAAATAGAGCATTTTGAGCTCAAAATGCTTTGAATTCCTAATGTTTTACACATCCTTAGACTTTTGTTTGATCCAATTTGATCTTCTGTTCAAACACATCAGTTGAATTTACTAACAATTAATAGTATTGCTGCAAGGCTGTTGTTTTGAATAACTAAATAACTAAGTTTCTGCAAAGACAGATCTGTTGTTTTCCTCATAAGGAGCATATTAAAAGAGCAATACAGAGAAACATCTGTTGTACAGGGCATGTCAAAATATAACGTAATTAATATTCTATGGCCACATGCTATTGAATATCACATTACAATATTAATTAAGCTATTCTTTGAGTAACAAGTGGAAGGTTAGTATCTATTAGAAAGTATATTTAGAAGAAAACTAAATAAAATGATAGTGTATGTACAAATATGTCTTTAATTCATATTTGGAACAGATACGTAGATCATATGCTGAGTGTAGGCTTAGTCAGTTTAATAGCTTTGAAATAAAGCTTAAGTTTATTTAGTCATGACTGAATTGGTCCCATTGATTTCAATGGCTCTACTGGAGTGTGATTGGATTCAATCCAATATATTTGCAAATGGTTCAGCTACAGGCAGTAAAATAACATGCACCATAAGGGCTTTTAATTGCTTGTATATCTTTAATTTTATTGATAAATGAATGTTTATTAGTTTAGAGACCTCCCTAAACAGGTTCTGTTAGCTGCCTATTAACCTTCAGACAACTTTCAGTAGCGGTTAAATGTATGTCTCCCTCTTTTTGTATTGATTCATTTTACTTTGCTCTCGATTTTAATATATCCAATATGACTTTATGTTTTCTCATATGTGATCTTTTAAATATGATAAAATGTAATATAATTTTAAGGAAACTACACATTATCAAGCATGATTATCACTCTTTTGACAGCATTTCTCAACTCCTGACAACAAGACCGCACCAAACATTTATTAATCCAACAGTTCACTTTATTTATTTAATTGAATTTATAAGCTGCCCAGTTCCAATGGACTTCGATGCTTAGTGAGGAAGACTGAAACTACTTTCTGCCCATAGAGATCCCACACTGAAGTTGATTTATTCCTTGATCCTTCCTAATATTTCAGATGCTTTGGCTGAAGCTTGTCCAGTGTTCCCCAGCAATCCTTAATTCCCAATGACTATGGACATTGGTTGTGCTGGCTGGGAATTTTGGAAATTGAAGTTCCAATACATTTGAAGACTGCTTGGTTCAGGGAAGTTGAACTAGTGCTTTCCAAATTGCAGCCAGACCTGAATGACACGGAGGCTTTTAGGATAAAAATTACAAGACTGCTCATGGCTGCAATATTGTCAGGACTGTGGGATGAAGATCCCTTTCAGGAATCCACGAGCAGGTCCCTGGATGTTCCAGGTTCTCAGACGTATCTGAGAAGCCAACTTCCAACTTCTCTGACTCATTGAGAGCCAGTTTGGTGTAGTGGTTAAGGCTAGAAACTGGGAGACCATGAGTTTTAGTCCCGCCTAGGCACAAAGCCAGCTGGGTGACCTTGGGCCCCTCACTTTCTCTTAGCCCCAAGAAGGAGGCAATGGCAAACCACTTCTGAAAAACCTTGCCAAGAAAACTGCAGGCAATTTTTGCCCAGGCAGTCTCCGTGAATCGGACACCATTGAACAGATTTAACAAAAAACAAAAGAAAACATCTTTCAGGGATCCATGGGCAAGTCCCTGGATATTTTAACTTCTCAGACTCATCCAGCTTTGACCTCTTTTTTTTTCCTTCCCTCATTCCCCCACTCTATCTCACTCCCCAACCCCCTTTCCCCAGAACCAGCACTGGCATTTTTTTCTTTCCTTCCTAATTTTAAAGAGTTTAATTCCAGTGCAAATGGGACCTTTCTTGAATGAAAAAACAGCTGAATCAATCCTAACTGAATTAATGTTCCCTTCATTTCAGTGGGTTTCCATTATACACAATTAAGTCTGGATACAATGCCCAGTTGTGAATTCTTGGAAGATGCCCAACTTTCCAAGACTAATAAATAGATTATAAATTTATTAAAAGATTAATAAAAGATTAATGTTACTGGCATTTCCTGCTCCTTCGTTTGCATCTAAGAGCTTGCCTCCTGTTACTTCTTGGAGTGAAACCAGCAGTAGACAGGAATAAACAAACTTGATCTATTCTGGACTGTTGGTTGACTAGAATCTTAGAGCAGCTTAGTACCTGTCTTAGAAGGTCAGCCACCTGGAGAGGCGTCCAGGTCTCACATTCTTCTCGCAAGGGCAGCTTCGTAGTCATGCTGGGTCCCTGCCAGGAAGAACTGAGATGCTTCTGGCAATGCTAAAACTTGTTCGGCTTACTAAACATAAATGACTGAATTCTGGAAGTCATTAGAGGAAGTTCCTCTGCAAATTTTTTTCCCCTCCCTGTGGTCATCGTTGCTTAAAGTCACACCACCCTTTAAAGTGGCTCAGAGACTATCAGCAATGTCATGTAATGATTTTGAATGAGATGGAGTGACTGTCATTTCATTTACAAACTGAGATGAACTTTCATTTCCTTAGCATAGCCTGCTGAGTAGACAAAGTTCTTATGATTAAATTGAAAGTTAAAACAGTTGGAGGAATATCTTTAACCGACAGGTTAATTATACTATTTTTTTTCCAGTAATGTAAGGCTGGGTAGCTGTTTAGGGCCAAGGGTCACGTTGTGCCAGGTATTTATTTATTTATTTAATTTATTTATATTTTGAATTTAGACACTGTACGGAGGGCAGCATACAAAACTGATTGGTAGCAAAGGGGGAGGTGAACAGAGCTACATCTTAAAAAAGAAAATGAAATAAAAAATTGAAAAATGTTTTTTAACTCCTCCAATCAATTCTGACAGTCTTTTAAATCCAATAGGAGAGAAAATATGTAGCTCAAGATTGAACTGTGGAGTCCACAGTCTTTTAAATTACCTCCTTATTATTCATGTCTTAATACAGTTTTTAATTTAATTGATTTATTGTTTTCCTTGCTTCAACATATTTCAGCTATATTAATTATTACATTGTTCCTTAATAAGGATGTGCAAAATGTTCTGGGCTTGAAATGTTCTGAGCTTAGAATAGCTGTTTTGAATGTTCAGAGCTCTCCCAAAGTTCCAGACTTGGATGCCAAAAATGTCTTTTGTTACATGTTGTTTTGAGTCTTCCAGTGTCCTGCAAATTGGTCTGTTCTTTTTCTCCAATCCTTCAAGCCATGGAGACGGCATTAGCCAAAAAACAGCAGACATACATTCAGTCTCTGTTGCCATATGCTGATGCTAGTTGAAGGGATGAGGAGAGATGCGGCACTACAGAGTCTGTTAAGTGCATCTTCAGTGACTGAGAATCATTCTGGATTGTTGCTTCACAAAATGAAACACAAGTAAGAGATCACAGAAGGGTCGAGAGGCTGAGATTCAGTGTCAAGCCAACTGTTGTCTAATCTGGCAGTCTCCTCTGCCATCCCACTAGTCCTATAAAATGATGTGTTTTTAACTAGCTGCTTAAACTGGGGTCTACAGTTTATGGGTTCAAATGTAACATTGTGGGTTTTTAGTGTGTTGCATTTTCTTTTTCCGGCAGATCGCTAAATGCAAAAATGTGCCCTGCACACAAACAATGGTTGCTTGCTGTTGAGAAGCAGTGTATATTGTGATTAAGGTGTTGGATTGGGACTGTGAAGACAGGTTCATGTCCATGCTCAGCCACAGAAGCTCACTGGGTGAAGTTGGGCCTGTCACTATCTCTCAGCCCAAGCCACCTCACAAGATGGTTACTGTGGTGAAAAATGGAAGGAAGAGAGTGTGATGTACACCAACCTGAGGCATAATACGAACGAAGGAACGAAGGAATGAATGAATGTTCAGATGCAAAATGTTTCCTTTGGTTTCTTCAGCTTTGCAACAGGTTGCCAATGCAAAGGTTTGCACTATGCTTGTACCTTAACAGATCCTCTCAGTATGCGGCTGAATTTTTTGGAAGGACATGAAAGGGTACAGACGAATGACCTGTACCAGCTTTCTCTTGTGGCCAACTTACACAAATGGGCTTGTTTTTGTTAAAAGCTGCTTCCTTTGCAGGCTGGTTACCAAATGCAAACATGTGCACTGTGCATGTGCATTCAAACGAAGCCAACTGAGTTATTTTTGCTGCTGTAATGTTGTACATGGGTTGTATTGAAATGAGTCAGTTACTGCTGCTTCTTTGCTTGGATCGATTTGGTGCCTATTTGTTCAGGCAGGTGCAACAACCTTACTCTTGGTGGGTCAGCATCCCGTTGTCCCCATTCTCATAAGTGGTTGCCATGCTGATGTTCTGTACTGAAGGAGATGATATGCTACTTGTTTAGAGTATCTTATCTTATTTATATGTGGGACTCGTTATTCTGTTTCATATGACTGAGTGCATAAATACGCTGCATTCAAGTATCAACAATCCTTGACAATTTTTATGAATGTCAAGGAATTAAGAGATACCTGAAATACCTCATATTATAATTCCCAACATTCATGTAGAATTTTAAATATTTACACTTAGTGATTTCTATGTGAAAATGAATCTTTTCCCTAGGCCTCATTCTCTGGGAGATACGAACTCTTATAATAACAGGGTTTTTTAGCTGTGGCCTTGGAGTTTGAAGATACACTGACTAGTTCATACATTCTTCTATGATTGAGTCGTACATCTGTTTTTACATACAGGTGGTTCTCATTTAATGACCACATGTTCAGTGACCATTCGAACTTATGACAGTGCTGAATGAGTGGTAGTTATGACTGGTCCTTGAACTTATGGCCTTAGCAGCATCCCGCAGTCACATGATCGTGATTTGTGACTTTTCCTGTCAACTTCCAACAAGCAAAGTCAATGGGGAAGCTGAGGGAAGTCGCAAGTTGCAGTCACATGAGGCCCTCGCTTAACAATGGCAACCAGGACTGCCAGAGCTATGGTTGCTAAATGGTGCAGTCTTTTCAACTTATGACAATGTCTCTTAACGACAGAGTTTCTGGTCCCAGTTACCATAGTTAAGCGAGGACTATCTGTATTACAATGGCTAGGTTCACATAGAACTAGTTTGGTGTAATGGTTAAGGCATCAGGCTAGAAACTGGGAGACCATGAGTTCTAGTCCTGCCTTAGGCACAAGGCCAGCTGGGTGTCTTTGGGCCAGTCACTCTCTCTCAGTCTTAGGAAACAAGCAAGAGCAAACCACTTCTGAAAAACCTTGCCAAGAAAACTGCAGACTCAAAGGCGCGTGTGCACAAACACACACACACAATTCACACATGTTCAGCCACAAATGAGCAAATCTCATTCTGATGCGTGAATATAAACCCAGCTTTAGAAAGTCATTGACATTTCTCTCTGGTTTTAGTTGACAGCCATGCGAAAAATTTTTGACTTTGTCAAATAATAGGAGTAAATCTTTACTATTACTGTCATCACCATCATCATCATCAACTACAGATTTGCTTAAGACCATCTGTGTTAAAAGGCATGTTGAAATGCTGTGAGTAAACAAATAAATAAAACAAGCATTCCACACTTTAAAAGTTATTTGTTCTAACATGTATATGCAAACACATAACTGGGACCTTTGGGAAAGCATGATTGAAGAGGAGAAGGCAGAACTGACCTTAGAATCATGTGTTTTGAAGCCAACAGCCCTACACAGTTGGCAAAAGGGAGACTTGAGGCAGAGAAGGTGCTCTGAACTTCCCGCTGGTCAAAGCTGCTTATGAAGAACTCTTCATGATCGGAGGGGGAAAAAAGCTTAGAGGTTAAGAAGTATATGGTGATGGAATAATTTGGCAATCACTTATTCTTGTCCCATAGCAAATGTAGCTAGGATTGTGGTTCATACTCAGCACCTGTAACTTTGCACTTGTTATTCCAATATTATTAGCACATTTCTATATATCCAGGATGCATAGCCTAAGGCCCAAGGTATATATGATGTCTGAAATCCTTGAATGTGGATCCCAGAATCCCTCCAAACATGGCCATCAAATTGTCATTTTTAATGAGACAGAAACAGGCATGATGAAGTAGTTGGCATTAATCATATGAACTGTAATTAATTAAGCATCATTGTAATGATAGGGTTGTTTTATTTTAGCCCCCACCTTCTTCTTTAATCCTGACCCCATCTATATTTTGAAGTGCTTTTCCTGCAGGGTAAAAGCCAATGCGGTCCAAAGCTTAAAGTTGGATATTTCTGATCTACATAATACTTCAGTGTTTAGACAATGTAGGTCTCAGTTTAGAATCAAGAATATGCAGTGGAGCAATTCAGCGGGAGAAAGGGAGAAGCCAAGGTTGAGGGTTGATTTGTATAACCTGGTCCAAGATGGTATCCAACCCAAGGGTCTTTCATCTTAACAGCTACAAAACAACTCTCTCTTACAGAACCATCAGAAACAAATGCATCACATTAAAAGTAAAGAAGAAAGGAGATTCAGTGAAACCTTACCATTTCAAAATAAAGCTGCAGCAATTACGTTAAGCATTTTGACAAAGGTCAGCTTGTTGGGTCTGGGAACCCTGAGTCACTGTGACACAACAAATGTAAAATTTTCCATAAAGATTGGAGAGTGAGGATATTCTATTCCACATCCTGCTTCTCTTCTTCCTGTTTAACTCCCCCCCCCCCGTGCTAATTTATTTTTAAGAACTAAAGTTGAGTGTAATTACATCAAAGTCTGCTTTTTATCTACCAGTCCTAACTTTGTAGTTTCTGTACTCAAAGTGAGCGATGCGGGCCAAGTACTGAAAACCAACTATTTAAAACTCTTTTTCCACTTACAGGAAGCAAATTCCTTATTCTTGTTTACATGGGTTGACTACTTTGGTCATTAAAGCAATGTCTTACTGTATCCATTAAAGCGGCTCTTAATTGGAAATTATACTGCTACTTGCTAAATTGTAGCCAAGTTGCTCCCGTGGCTATTATCCTTTAACATATGAAATGTACAGTACAACAGCCTTTAAAATCAATATTGACATTACACAAGTGGCAACTATGATGAACACACTCTTTTTATATTTCTATATCCAACATACATGTGTTTCATTAAAGAATCCCAAAGCAAAACAATCACATAGGGATACACAGTATTAAAGAGCAATTCAGCATGTACAAATACTGTAGTTGTGACCCTGTTTTCAAATGTTTAAAATCCCACGGAGGTCATTATCTTGATTATTTCTCTGAAAGCCTTCTCTTCGATATGTGTTTGGAGAATGATTGACGAGTGAACTGTGCCTTGCAGC